GTTGCTCCACCTAAACCAGAGCCTAACAGGACACGTACATAACCAAATACATGCACGCAGCAAGCAGCCAATCACAACCGCATTGACGTGCCAATATCCAAGACTGCTGCCAGGTGCAACGTGAAGCGACCGACTAGTGGCCAGTGAGATGCAAGTGGGTGCCGACATCCGGGCCTAACAGGGGTGAATTTTATTGCCACCAGTGCTGCCGCCGCTGCACATGCCTGGACCAGCCCCCAGTTCATTGTTGTCGTGGCCATGCTAGCGGCTGCTGCACCAGCAGCCAGCGAAACGTTGCCATCAGAATCATTGTGCTGCATCCCTCTCGTACATGTGCTTTCGTTCAAGCCAAGGCTGCATAAGGATAGCACCCACCACCCAAAAGCCACAAGCCACAAGGAATCAGCCAGGCGAGTGATTATAATCAGCCAGGCATTTACATTCATACTTGTTGAAGTCCCCTTACACCACCACAGATTGCGCGTCACGTCGCGCTATCGGCAAGCAGGTATGTATGGTCACACAGATATGCATGGTCACACAGATGTGTATGGTCACACAGATATGTATGGTCACACAGATATACACTTCCTGGCCACATGCCCGGGAAAAATAAAGAGCTAATGAGGCGGGCATGCGTTGGCTGTAGATGTGGTGTATACGTATTTGGCCCAATCGTCGGGGGTGCGTGTGTACGCACGTCCTGTACGATTTGTACGTGTACGGTGTACGGTGTACGGTGTACGGCAAATTCTTGCCACGCGCGAAGCTGCATGTCTGTGTGGGTGTGGCGCAGTGGTTAGCGCGTAGGTCTCATAGCTGTTATCGTGCTGTGACTTGGACTATCCTAAGGTCGAGGGTTCGACACCATCACCCACAACTGCTCGTGTAGCTCAGTGGAAGAGCACCCGTTTAGTAAGCGGGAGGTCTCGAGATCAAAACTCGACATGAGCAGCACATCGCTCTTGCGCGGGACATATCCGCTCTGGCTTTTTCATAACATGATCCATCCTGGTGTGTACGTGTGCGTGTATGTATGTGTGTGTACGTGTACACGTTGGTGCATGTGTACATGGGGTATTTGGTCGTAGCTAGCCAGAACATGCATGCCGGGACAGCACAGCAGCAACACGAAGGCGGCAGCATGGAATTATTCATCCCTTGCTTGTGCCTGTTGCTGGTCCCTGCCGTTGGACACGTACTCGTAATACACGAAATGCTGCAGTCAGCCGTGTGTAGCCTTTTCTAGGCGTTTAGGGTTTCAAGGACCCTAAAAACCCTAGAAACACTAGCTATCACCGCAAAAAGCAGCTATTCAACGACTAGCATCGGTTGAGTAGATCGGTGAGGTTTTGGTTGTTGGCTGTGACCATGGATGGCACTCGTGCATGCAGGATCTGCATTTTCTGAGAGACACAGCGCGACGAACACTACAAATATGTAGCACATGTAGCCGACAGGGGAACGGTTGCCTCCACCTAAACCAGAGCCTAACAGGACACGTACATAACCAAATACATGCACGAATAATGCACGAAATGCTGCAGTCAGCCGTGTGTAGCCTTTTCTAGGCGTTTAGGGTTTCAAGGACCCTAACACTAGCTATCACCGCAAAAAGCAGCTATTCATCGACTAGCATCGGTTGAGTAGATCGGTGAGGTTTTGGTTGTTGGCTGTGACCATGGATGGCACTCGTGCATGCAGGATCTGCATTTTCTGAGAGACACAGCGCGACGAACACTACAAATATGTAGCACATGTAGTCGACAGGGGAACGGTTGCCTCCACCTAAACCAGAGCCTAACAGGACACGTACATAACCAAATACATGCACGCAGCAAGCAGCCAATCACAACCGCATTGACGTGCCAATATCCAAGACTGCTGCCAGGTGCAACGTGAAGCGACCGACTAGTGGCCAGTGAGATGCAAGTGGGTGCCGACATCCGGGCCTAACAGGGGTGAATTTTATTGCCACCAGTGCTGCCGCCGCTGCACATGCCTGGACCAGCCCCCAGTTCATTGTTGTCGTGGCCATGCTAGCGGCTGCTGC